CTCTCTCTCTCTCTCTCTCTCTCTCTCTCTCTCTCTCTCTCTCTCTCTCTCTCTCTCTCTCTCTCTCTCTCGGCGAGAGCGCAAAACGCAAAGGTGACCTGGACCACCAGGGGTAAACCCAAAATACATAAGTTGGCAAGTACGGGGACATTTTGCAAAGATGGACAGTACCGGGTACGGGTATTTTACAAAGATGGCAGGTCCAACTGACACCAGGGGCATTTCGCAAAAAGTTTTTAATGTTAGAGGGGTATTCCGCTGAACCACATCTTTTAAGGGCATTTTGGCATGTATCTCAACTTATAGGCGTATTTCACACATTATCCCCTTTTTTTTCTTTTTTTTCCCCCCTTCTTTCCAGGTGCAGGTGGTTATTGAGGCTAGCCACCAGGCATATATGACAGTCCCTTCAGCAGTTGGCCATTTGATCATCCAGATGATTTTCTATACAGGCCCCCTATGAGACTCCCTCGTACCCTTACTCATCATTAGACTAAGTACATAACTGTCCCGGGTGCATCCCTAGTACTCCCAAGGTCCTACCTTATCGTTTTAACCACACAGGGTCATCACATGGAAAGGTGACCTCACCGACAGTGGTCATAGGCATCAGGGCTAAGCAGGTCCTCACCTCCCTCCCCAGCCTTGATTGAAGCATACGCGAACCTGTTATTATAGTGCAGGGCCTTGCTACCTAGCCGCTCTCCACAACACCCTCCGAACGGAAACGAATGTGGGTGCTTCTTCCCGCGGAGGGTGGTTAGAATGCTACTTTTCGTAGCAAAGGATGTTTCCTGGCAGCTTCTGCGGGCCTCGTTCTACACCACTTGAAAATACTTGAGTTTCAAGTGCACACTAAATGAGATATTGTGATTAATTTACACTAAGTTAAACTCGATTTATGGTTCCATCTACACTTGAGGAAACCCACACTTGAAACCAAACTCCACGGCTTGACCAATTCCTGACGAGGATGGCCTGCTGGAAAAAAAGAAAAAGAAAAAAAGCCCCACTTGGAGTGCTGGCAGTATCCGCTGGCACTTGAAGTCAAGGCTCCCTGGAGAGGTACCTTGAGGCTTGAGCTGAAGTGCAAATTTGCCCGGGCTGCACATGCACATAGAGTTTCGAGGGCTGGCACTAGAGAGCCGGAAAGTAGAAACAACTCTGCGGCCAAGTTAGGGCAGGGTCAAACGAAGAGTTTTCCTTCAACCCTTGAGTTCAAGTGGTGTGGAACGAGCCATTCATTCGTTTCTCGACCAAGCAGTTCTGTTTCATTATATATATATATATCCTGATGAGTCGGTGAAACTCCGACGAAACAGTTTGTCACAGCCCCTCATTTGTTGTCCTCTTCTCCCTCTCTGCCTACGGTTTACCGGGCAGTTCTATTTGACGATATATATATATCGTAACTACTGTCGTCTCATAATATAATCTCAGTCGTCTCCAATAAAGCTGCATGCAAAGGTTAGCGTGACTAGGCCCTGGAAGAGCATGTAGAAAAAGAGCGTACGCGCGGACAGGAACGCAGGAAAGGAGTACAACACAAGCAAGGCCGCAAGACATAAATGGGCTCTCAAAATGGTCCTTTTATTCTTCTTCGGCGGAAGGTATTCTGCACCCAACGGCGGAGGAAGGTGTGCTCCCACCGTCGCTTTCTCAGTCCGGCCGAGTTCGATGTCTCCCGCACCTGAGGAACTCTGTACAGGGAGAATTTTCAAACCGTATATGTGAGCAGAAAGCAAAGAGTCCGTTTCACCTTCTTCTTCTCCTCCTTGTCTTGCGTTTCTTCCTACTTCTCTTCCTCCTGCTTCTTCGCCGTCTTCTTCATCATCCTCACACTCTCCCTGCCCCCCTCCCCCTCCCGTCTTCTCCGTCACAACCCATTCGCTAGCCTCGGGTCGGTCCAACAGTCCCTGCACGCAGCCAATTGCTTTCGTCACAGAGACGGAACTCGCGACCCAAATGTAAGGAGCCACGAYGGGAAGACACGCAAGAAGCGATTCCTGACGCCCAGACAGTATCCGAGCAACGCCTGCCCCGAGACTGATGGCGACGAGAGCGATGGGCAGAGGAAGGGTAAGCTCAGGGATCAGTACGAAGAGCAGGGGTACGAGGAAAGCCAGCGCAGCTCCGACGATGGAAGCAACAATCTTTCGGAAGAATATGAACATCACCAGCATGTGAAACTTGTTGGAGAAGGACAGATGCTTGCAGCGGAGGATATCCGCGAAGACCAGGACTAGCAAGCGTGCAGGTCCGGCAGACCAGCGGTGCTGCTGGCGAGAGTACGCACGGACGCTCGATGGGTTCTCCGACACTACGCGCACCTGGTCTAGGTACTTGAACCTCCACCCGCGCAAGAATGCTCGGAAGGACAAGTCCATGTCCTCCACTGTGGTGCGAGTCAACCMCCCCCCTGCGTCGACGATGGCTGACCTTCTCCACACGCCCGCCGTGCCGTTGAATTGGAAGAAAAGCCCCGTCGCTGCCTGAACCTGCTGCTCGACTGCGAAGTGGTAGGACATGTCGATCAGCTGCGTCCGAGTCAAAATGTTCTGGTAGGAGTTGTTGAACTCCCACCGAGCCTGAACCAACGCCACCTTGGGATCGTCGCGGAAAAACGGAATAGTCCGTGCCAGGAAGTCCGGTTCGGGTTGGAAATCAGCGTCGAACACGGCAATGAACTCGTACTCGTTCGCGTAAGGCGCCTCGAACCCGCTCTTCAGGTTCCCCCCATTGAAGCCGCTTCTGTCTGTGCGCCTATTCACGACCAATTCGACACCCTCCTTCACCCATCGCTCTACCTCGTCGTCCACTAGAGATTTCATCTTCTCCTCGTCGCAAATCGTCCAGCACCTGGACGAGCAGCCGATCGCGCGGCCAATCCAGTCGCGCACAAGCTCCGATGGACAGCTGGTAGCATTCCCGCTCATTGTACATGGCGATCTGCACCAGCACTTTCGGAAACCATCGCTTCTTCTCCCATGATAGCTGCCGCTGTACCTTCGGATCGTGACCATCCTGTCCGCTTCCTCCCGTCCCCCCGTCATCCACACCATCCCCATGATCCCCCCCATGACAGCCTTCTCTTCCCCCAAGGTCGGCTCCTTCCGAACAAGGCGGGAAGGAGACGGGCGTCCTCATCTCTTCTCCCCTCGTCTGGGAGTCTCTGGAGAGAGGCATTGCCTCTTTCCATCCCGACAGCTGCAGGCAGAAAGCGGCAAACGTCATCAAAAGCATATCGATGCACGTGGCCAGCGCAAGCGCAAGCACGATGTCCACAATCCATTGGGCGCATGGAGCAAAGTACCGCGTACGGCGCTCGTGGATGGTGCCACGTGTCCAGCTCTCGGAGAACTTCTGCAGCCCTTTGAATTTCCGGAAAGTGTAGCGCGTGGCGAGAGCTCCTCCTTTCAGAATGCTCTGCTCGAACAGCAGGGTCCAGAAGACAGCCGCGAGGATCATCCATAGCCACTGTGATTGGCTGAGTCTCTTCCTGGTCAGCTTCTTCAGGACAACCAGCAGCCGCGCAGTCGACTTAAGGGTCTCCATGACTTCGTAAGCGTACTGTTTGCCAATAAAGGAACAAAAGCGAAAGCGGAACAGAGAGGCCAACCCCGGCACCTAGAGAACTGCCTGATTGCAGCTCCTGGATCTTCAACTTTCCCTGCTCGCCAAAGACCGTGGACTCTTGAGCACCTTATCGAGCCTCGTTTGAAGAGGGTGACCTTCCTGAGCTCCCTCCAACACAAAATCCGAGCTGCGAAGCCTAGATTGATGAACTAACCATCCTCGGCGGAGGAAGGGGAAAGAAAGAAAAGAAACACACACACACACACACACACACACACACACACACACACACACACACACACAGAGAGAGAGAGAGAGAGAGAGAGAGAGAGAGAGAGAGAGAGAGAGAGAGAGAGAGAGAGAGAGAGAGAGAGAGAGAGAGCAATTTAAGCGCCTGGTTTCGGGATTTCAAGGGCAACACAGTCAAAGAGCTAACGCGAGATGTAAAGGATAAGCGTTCATGATTGTGGGGGAACACGTTGAACAACCATTCATTAAAACTCACTTTGCGCAAGATGCATCAAAACTGGCATTGCGCAAGAAGCAGACGAAGGAGAAAGGGGGGGGGGGGGGGAGAGAGAGAGAGAGAGAGAGAGAGAGAGAGAGAGAGAGAGAGAGAGAGAGAGAGAGAGAGAGAGAGAATGAAGAGAGGAGACAGAAACATAGTACTCCCCGAGCGCAAGTCGGCTGGCATGGTATTGAGCTCAAAAGAGTAGACACTCTTTTAACTCTGGCTCGTTTCAATAGCCTGCAACAATGTGACAGTGTCTCCCCCTCCTCCCTCTCCCCCCCCCTCCCCTTCTCTTTTATCCGGATCCTCTTTCACTGGTTCAGGAACGAGCTCCTTTATTAGATTATCCGTTATCACTGGCTCAGAGACGAGCTCGTTCTTTCAGTCCGGACTGATCGTGGCAGGGTGATGAACTGAGGGGATCGCTGCATCGCTCACGAAATTCGAAAAAAGACATGAGCTACAATGACCGAATGCTCAAAAAGATAGACGTGTCCTTCGGGATATCCGTTAAAATTGGAACGATACAGAGAAGGAAGATTAGCATGGCCCCTGCGCAAGGATGACACGCAAAACTCGAGAAATGGTCCAAATAAATAAATATGATAAAGAAAAAGACAGAAGGGTCACACTCTTGGTAGTACGGCGAGGACCTCAAGCGGCCTGTGTGCACCTGCCACAAGCAAGCATACCCTCCAGGCCCCACGTAATCAACCGTACTATGGATGGGGTAATTACTACTGGTTAATAGAAATTCGATTAGGGCGGCGCCCCAGTACTCGCCTTAGTACGTGCCATGTGGAGAACGCAGCTCGTTCTTTGTTGTTGTTTTTTTCCAGTGATCCTACCGCAGAGTTCACGTTCCTCTAAACGATAAGGTTATATTTTTCTCTCAAAAAAAAAAAAAAAAAAAAAAAAAGAACGATAAGGTTAAATTACCTTGGGTCTCGCTCCACTACTCACAAAATGTGCAGAATGAATTGAATATTCCGCTAGAAGATGGGGACACACCGCTATATTTTCTGCTGCATGTGGGAGGGAGTAAAGGAGCGAGGGCTCTGGTTTTTCCCCCTTAAAAAAAAAACGAAGCTCTCCAAAGTAGTACTACTACTTATGCAGCGGCCTAGCTCAATTGGTTGGGCACGCAAGTGACATTCAGGAGTCGTGGGTTCCATCCATCCCCATGGCCCACTGCCGCATGCTTGGTGCCAAGTACTGGGGTCTTCAGCCAACACGCATGTGAGTGGGAGTGTGAGTGGGTTGCCTGTGGTGTGCCGGAGAGTGTTGATCTTAAGACACTCCGGTTAGTCTATGGGCATGGGGAAAGATGAAAAGGGAGGCGCAGCTATGGGAGAGTGTTGGCCTTAGACACTTCTGGGGTACCGTATGGACATGGGGGAAGATGAAAGGGGAGCCGCATCTACCCCCACAGGTGGCCCTCACACTGCACCCGAAACCCCTACGGCAGGGCAAACATGCAATTACCTCCCTCCTCCTAAAGTCTGAGGTAACCTCCCTTCACCAAGAGAGGTGGGAGAGTGTTGCCCTTAGACGCTGGTGTTCCTCTATGGGCATGCTGGCCCTGAGCCCTCACCCTGCACTATAAACCACTTGGTCAAGACGAACATGCCCATAGAGGAACAGCAGTGTCTAAGGGCAAACATGCAATTACCTCCCTCCACCAAGGGAGGTGGTGCTAACCTCCCTTCACCAAGAGAGGTAGTCTAAGATCCCTATGCTTGCAGGGGTCCACTGTATAGCCGTAGGAGTAGCAGTAGGTAGGCCGTGAAAGATCCCGAAGGCCCAAAGCAAAATCTACAGTACACCAGATAGACATCCAGTGAAAAATGAAAACAAACTAATATGAAAGAAACGAAAACAAAAACATGACCAGGTTTCCCACCTTGCACACTTGGACCTGTGTAGTTACTGCCATGATCTCCCCAAATCTCACTGGGTGCAACCCATTTTTGCTCTCTCTCCTTACAGCTAAATGCCAACAGGTTGTGATGCAGCCTATCAGCAACGTTCCCACAACCAGTAGTAGGTCTCGGGACTACCTCCCCCACTAGCGCACCCAGAGAGTGTTAACATAAATTTAAAAAAATGGGGCAAGTACATTCAAGTCGCACCTCATGTTGGGAATGGGTGGGCAAAAAAATACACACACGGCCCGTTTCAAATCCAGTGTCAGGGGGAAATGGAGGCACTGCGGCCGTGACAGAGCCATAGGTGTCATAACTACACGGGCTCACCGTGGCGTCAGAGGGGTGGGCCAACGGATCTATTTCGACTAAATTGCGAGTTTCAAATCTCGCGACAGTGCCATTGCCTACTCAACTAAAAGCGTGATGCGGCCGCCATTTCCTCCAACAAAAAAAAAAAAAAAAAAGAGGGGTCACCCACTACCTCCAGTGGTTCTCTTTACAGCTGAATGACAAGTCTATCAGCAACGTTCCTCGAAAAGAAAAAAAAGAAAAAAAACGTTCCCCCAACTACCTCCCCCACTACTGCATCCAGGTGAGTGTTTAAATGCCTGAAGTGGATTTAGAACTGAAAATTTAATGTGACTGCGCTGTAGTTACCCCTGGCTGGCAAGAAAGGGGGGAGGGGGGGGGGGGGGGGGGGGGGGGNGGGGGGGGGGGGGGGGGGGTCTCCCACCCCCACCAGTGCTTCCATTGGCTGTTACAAAACAACCCCCAACTTGCAAAACTTGAAAGAAGACAAAATATAAATAAATAAAAGGCAATGCTGAAAACAGAGTGTGTCAAAGACCATGAAAAAAACAAAGACCATGAAGTGAAAAAGCCTTCAAAGTTCATGCAGTTTCCAGGGGCGAGGTCCCACTAGCAAAGAGGATTGGATTGGATGCCTGAATCTGGACGTGTTTGAGGACAGATGCAGAAAACCGTGATTGATCTACTTTTCTGCATCTTCGCCAAGAACCTATGGAGATTCAGGTTCGTAATTTGATCCACTTTGCTGGCTGGACCTTGCCCCAGGGGCTTTTTCTTTGGGCGGTTTTTGCAGTCAGATACAGAAGCATGTATATGTCTTGCTTTGATAATCTCGGATTTTCATTTGTGGGGGGGGGCATAAAAAGAAAAAAGAAATAACTATGCTGGAGTGCGGTGTTGAGTTTTGAATTCCCAGAAATAACAGGGCACTGCAGCCCCGGGCCCAGGGCAGTAAGAAACTACCAAAAAAAAACAGCCTTGTGGGCAACACTGAAGCCCCATCTATTCTGGGGGCAGCAGTCCGGTTACTTATCATAGGCAAGCATGGAAGTATTTACAAGTGTGATAGAGAAGAAAGACGAGATCGGCATATCCCTCGCCGCACTAGACGCCTGTCTCAAGGGTGGGGTTACTAGGCAGCCCCCCTCCTTACTGCTGGCCCTTTGCGAGGCAGCCCCCCTCCTTACTTTTGGCCCTTTGCGAGGTCATCTATTGGCCGGGAAACTTACTGGCAGTACCCAGATGCTCAACAGAACGGCCTTGGAAAGAGACTGGCAGAGTGGGCGCCGGGGGAGGGGAGGCGGGGAGGGGTCCCTAGTACCTCCTCCATGCTGCACAACCCACTCCCACTGCCACCCCTACCATCTAGTACAGAGTTTGTATAAGCTAGTAGCTGCCTAACCCACTCCTCATATATATATATATACATGAACCCATACAGGATGAGCAGATAGATCACACAGCAAGACAGATCTCCAAAGAGCAATAAAAGACAGGGAAAACTAGGGAGCTGTCACCGTTTCAGTTTGCAAATTTAATGTGTTTTAGTCACGATTTCACAAATGTTGTGCCAAACTGAGAAAAATAGTGAATGTATACAACCCAACTTTAGGGGCAGGTGGGGATGTGTTTTATTCGAGGGATGTCTGAAGTGCATGTAAAACTGAAATCCTGACTGCACCCTAGTTACCCCTAAAAGAAAAGAAATCGGTGAATGAAGCTATGTGTACAGCTAGACTGGGCACAACGCAAGCCAATACGAGAGAGGATGGGCGTAGCCTATTTATACAGCCATAAACGGAAATCTCTTCCAGGGTTCGAATTAGCTCTCTAGAAGAGGAGGGAAGATCATTGCGGAAAGGCAGCAATCAAGATGAATCTAGCTCACGTTTACCACCATAAACGGAAACACTCACAAATTCGAGATACGAGTCCACTTCCCTCCATCCGCAATGCATGACTCATGCATTGTTGGAAAAGACCAAACTACCAAAAGAAAAAAAAAAAAGAAAAGAAAGAAAGACTAAACTAAAAATAGAAAAGTAGGACGTGGTCATGGTTTGAGTTTCTAAATGCATTTTAAACGGCCGTTTCGCAGTCCAGTCCGGTCCGAAGTTTACAATGCAGTGGAAAAAAACTCCACTTTGCAGAAAAGTTGCACCATGGAGTTTGTAACTGCAGTTCAGTCAGGCAACCTTTGATTTTGACAGCGGCCGTCTTACGAGCAGCCACCATTTCTAGAGCGGCTGTTGCAGGACAGGCCTCTGTTTCGAGAGCAGAGTATGGCCAAGGGTAACACTGGAACGGGCATTCCCACTATCCAAGGTTCGAGAGTTTTCCCGGTATT